CTATATGCAGTTACGTACTTTATGTAAACGTAAAACAGGATTGACTCTCTTCGTGACTAGATCTATTTAAACTTTGAAGAATTTCATTATGGCAAAAGTTGTCAGACCTTTCGTGCAATGTAATAGCAATTTTTGATATCACCTGTACGTGTACCTTGGGTCTCAGGTAATCTTTTGTACATTTAGTTGTGCGACGTTTGATATTACATTGATATGAGATATTCGAGTATAAAAATCCACGTCTCTTTTTGATTCGTATAAATTTGAAAAGACCGACTGTTCTTTCCGTTAAATAATACTTTCACGAATTACACGAAACATAGAGGATCGCGCGTTGTACTCTTCGTATTCAAGTATTAAATTAGCTGTCTTCGATCATGGTAGCCAGAATATCTACCAGCACAGACAGCATTATATCAGGCTAAGGACTTGGCTTATCCATACCGATGATCTCTTCGAACAGAGTGTTCCTTCCTTCCGTTCTTTCCTCGATAGTTCGTAAAGCAAATCTTAAGGTCGCCGCAACTAAATCGCCGACGGACCAGTGTCTGTCCACGAGTACTCTACAGACAGTATCTAACTAAAGGGGCCACATTAAAAATTAGAATTGTACACAAAGCAGTAGTATAGCGTGCGTTATTTTATTCGCTACCTTCGATAATTTCGTATTCCCTGCTGTGAAGTAAATCAACTTTGGTACTCCCGCTAGAGAAGCGGCAAGCCATTGAATGACGAGCTTCAATTGTGGATCCCCTTTCAACCGGGATCCGCATCCCCAGTTACCTGTAGCTATGGGTAGCAATCCACTGGTTTGTGGACTATTGTCTCTAGGTATCTAAACAGTGGTTTGTAACAAGAAACACGATCATTTATAAATACTCTCGGTACAAATCGAAAAGAAATGGTCAAATCGTGTTATTGTAGAAAGCGTTAAAAGTTACGTTAAGATATTTTCAGATAGAATGAGAGACAAATCATTAGCCACTGGGAATACAGTCATAAAGTACTTCAAGCTGAGTATTTCAATCCGTCATGCAATGAGCAATTAAGCTTAACAATAGTTGTCGTTAACGTTGTAATTGATAATTAATTTTCGATACCATATACATGCATCACATACATGAAACACAGTCAATATAAGTTTGCTCACGTTGAGTGTTACATGGGACTCGAATTGTTCTGCAAGTTTATTATCTTTTACATCGGTTACCCCTTTCGTAGGATCAGATAAATGTACGGTCGCCTCGTCTTCGACCAATGTTTGTAAAATTTCAGAGGTAAACGTTATCATCTTAAGTTTTCTACGTTGGATATCCTTTACTTCGTTCGTTACCGTATGATTACTTAAAGCATCCTCGTAACGATCTATGTCTTCAGATACAGACACCTGTACAGCGTAACGAGCTGATGAGATTTAGCTATGTATAAAAGATTATCGAAAGATAGCAGTCTTCAGTTTGTCTCTCATTCATCGTCGGTAATTGAATTAAAATAAAAATATCTCATGGAATATTATGAATATCGAATCAAATAAGTTTTTATTCCGAAGAAACGAAAACGTCTTGTTCCTTACTGATTGCTGTCTTCTACTTTTATGACGGGCTAATTCTAAACTCAAGCTTCTCACGGCGAGAGCTAATTTGTGGCTCTGAGTCACGTCAGTAGGATCAATGAACGGTTGCGGTTCACCCTCTTGGACGGGCACACCTGCGAACGATTCACTGAGCGCTCTCTTTAACAACGAGCCCGCGAATCGAACCACCGCTTTGTCCCTCGCATCTAATTCGCGCGATTCGTCCGCGTTTATAGGATCCTCCAACCATTTCGCTAGTTGCTCGTAAACTTCCTCGAGTTCCGAGCAAAAATCTGTACGCAAGAGGACAAATTGGTTTACTTATTTTCAGAGACTGACGAAATGCATTATCTATAACATATTTCGTAATGCTTGCCAGAATTGTATTCAGTACTGAAACTGTATCTGCTGCTAGCACTCGTGTCTCGCCTTTGCAACGTCGGTTGATTCTGCCGAAATCGGCCTAACCATTTTTGTTCGGCTTCCAACGATTCTTTTAAAAAATCTTCGTCCACCGTCTCATCTCGTAAAACGAATCCCCTCGAACCACCCCTTTTCACCCTGTAAGATTTCACGTGAAACGTCACGAATTTGTACGTACGAGCAATGTTCTTACATAAGTTGGCTTACTTAATGTCCTGATCACAAACGTGGCTCCCAGATACACTTATTCCTACCGCGTAACTACTTTCCCCGAACGAAGTATTAGTCGAACCGGTCCCACTCGTGTATTCTCGTCGCAATGCGTCTCTCAAACGTTGGGCAAAGTTTCCTCTACGCTCCGGTGTATCTAATTGAGCGGTGTAGCGTTTGCTTAATCTTTGATCTTCCTCCTCTGTGTACATTCCAATAAGTAATAAATGCGAACTCGGCGTTTTTTAAGAATACGATGTACATACCGACGTCTTCGTCTACGGTATCTTTCGCGCTGTGAAAACTATCTGTACTTTGACTATTGCAGCTACTGTAGATCGACATTTGACCTAACGATTTTCGCGTGACCGGTAAAATTTCCCCGCTGGATCCGAGAACGATGAATCGATTCCTTTTGTTCGTGTAATTGGCGTCACTACACGTTTTATGAGGGCTCACGGATCGGGGTTTACCATTAGGTTTGCTACGAATTTCTGCTAAGCCATCATGCTTATGTTCTTGTACTGCGGACTTGGCTGTACACAGATATCAATTATAGCCCTACGTTGTTAGTAGAAAGATATTGCCATCGTACCTTCTTTAGAACTGTTAGTGGTTGACGGTGGTTTATCATCGTCTTCCACTTCCGGTGGCGTACTACTAAAACTTTCTCCGATCGGCGATAATCTCCGAGACCCCATTGCCCCGTCCGTATCCGGTTCTGACTTTACGGGATCGGTCGGACTGGTCGGCAGGTGCCTCTGCCGGAATCCGAGCAGAGATTTATTCAACTCTCGCAGTATGTTGTCTTCTTCGAACTGCGACAGCGGCAATTGCGAATAATCTTCAGGATCGATACAGCACACCGAGACCTGTGTGAGAAAACGTAAATACAGTATATTCCAAATCTCTAACGTCAGTGAAGAAAATGAAAGAGATGCACTGACGGTATTTGGTTTTGATAAAGCTTCGAATACAGCTTTGTTGCGCGGATCGTTTATCCTAGATATATGCCTAACGCCTTCGATTATCAAAACTTCGTTGTCTTCTAAGGCCTCGACCGACAATATCGCTGCAAGCATTTCGGGATGCGTTGCTATCTATTAATGAAATCAATCATAATTATTTCGTCTTAGCGTTCAGTGTTCTTTTTTTTCTTTTTTCATTTTGCAAACATATAGGATTAGGTTTAGGCTTTCGAAATGGTTTCTTTCACGCGATTTAATTATTTACATGTACAGTTTCTTGCGTAACATCACCATCAAGTACACCGCCGCCAAATTTCGCGCTCGCGAAGCAAACTCGCAATACTTTAGCATCGGCTTCCATCCTGTCTAGGCGACCCTCGTGGCGTATCATCAGCGGACATAAAGGAACGGTGCTCTCCAACCAATCGTCGATCGTTAACCATTGCTTCGACGTCAGTACCTAAAATTCCGGTTATCGGTGTCACCAGGTATTCGCTAAAACTTGCAGCAGCGCATCGCCTCCAGTACCTGTCTAGAAACGATCAATTTTCCATCTAGCGCGTTTTCGCTATCGAGATGATCGTAGTAACGAAATATGCTCCTCAATTTCGCTTTCTGCCCGTTCCTAAAAAAAAAAAAAAAACAATAAACGCAAAGTTATATTTTACTAGCTCCTCGTAGCCTCGCACCGAGTTTTCAGAGTGACGCTTACTCATGAAGATGTTTGAAAAAGTTCGTAAAATTGAAATCCCGCAAGGTCGGATGGGTTTTCGTGGTCCTCTTCGGGTACGTGGAGAAGAATGCGTTCGCAATTAAAGATGAAGCGAACGCGTAGCTGTAGTCGATGGTATCGTCTGCGGAAGATGTCCTTTCTTTCTGAATCCGCTCTTACTTTCCATCAACAACGATTAATTCCAATTACCTTGCTGTTGAAGACTGAAGTGCAAACCCAGCAGAGGTTTGCATGATCTCAGGGCTTTTGCTCTCTCCACCATTCGCGGTATCGTTTTCGTAAACACTTGATCTCGTTCGGTGGAATCGAGGTCAGTATCGAGGAAAGCTGCTAATCCGGAGAATAATTCAGGGTCCTGCATGTCCTCATCAGGGTCGAGACTTATGCTGTAAAACAAAAATACGCTGCTAGGGGCGATCGAAGATGCGCAAGGAACATGTAACAATCATGGTACAAAGACATTCCGGGTACATGGGTGGTTTCTGTACAGTGAGGCGTTGCACTTAGTTAAGTATTTAGAAATACTTGGATACCTTTTCAGTAAGCACTGTTCCTCGTATCTTTATAACAGCATGTTGTAAAAAAATCGAATTCGTTAATACTTCCGCGAGACAAAGCGCAAAAACGAAATGTATTATTATGTACGTGTATAGCAAGGTGATTCGTATGCGTAATGCATTTCTCTCAGGTAATTTCAAGTTACGGTACTTACTTGCACATGTCGTGCAACCTCTGCATCGCCTCTATTAAATCTTTGGAATTCCTGGCAGCGGCAGCTCGGTCCATTTGTTTTACCACGGCTGGCCACCATGGTAAGTCGCAGGGTAACATCACTAGAGCCATTTTAATCGTCGATCTAAACATCAAACATCACGATATTCGATTCGGCCACATGAAATTATAGAAATCACGCTGTATGGAAGTGGGTAGTAAGTGAAATTCGAAAGATCCTTTTGTGCTGGGCAATGGTCCGATTACTTTCGATTTAGCTACGTGTCTTCCAAAATCCTCAAAGCCGACCACTTGTTATACGTGCTATTAAAACGCAGGCTGCTGTTACACAGCTACGGTCGAATCATTATTCATTATATTGTTATTCGCTATGACGTTTGAATTATTATTAACGTTACCGAATTGCTTGCATATCTTCCTCGTGCGGTGTAAGTAGTATAGGTTTTAAACAAGCGCGATAGTGTATCGAAGAGTCAACGGAGCTTACGCGTGGTTTATTGCATAAAAATAAGCATTCCGCAGGTATAAAATGAAACGGGGTTTCACGGTCCGTGTAACTCGATACCTCCAGAGTCTCGCGTAAAAATATGATGTATTTTTTTATGAAGCTTTTAATTAATTTACTGACCGACGTTGTGTATACAGAGATTGTGCGAATATCAGCGATCAATTTACCTGACTCTTCTTCCGATTCATTTCAAACTGTGAACATTAAAGTATTAAGCACTGGATCCATGATTAAGTATTAATTAGTTCTCCTGACAAAGTGGTACATAATGGTAACAGATCTTTCCGTCAGAATTTCCGTATACGAGTCTTACGAATGTTCGTTCGTGCGCCTGGCGGAAAGGGGTTGCCGTGTTGCGTGGTTAGTAATCTTTCATCACGAGGACACAGCTATTAGTTTTATCTGTTGGGTGAGAATGTAGCGAACGGTTCGGTGAGCGTGATCACACAGGTAGGGAGCCGAACGATAACATTTTCCAACGTCCGCTCTCAACTGCAATTTACATAATCACCTAATTTACTCAATCAATTGTCGATCAGCTGACGCGGACACGGATCACAAAGTCACATCTCAAAGTGAGCTATTGCGTCAACGAATACGCCGCATATCGCACGGCGATCACTCAAGTAATTTTAGCGTCTGTAAAATGTAACACCCCAGCCTCGGGATTTAATGACAATTGTTTTGCGCGGAGATGCGTCGATACGACGGGGTCGGCTAGCTGGCGAATAACTTGACGCGCCGTGTCATGGAACTCGTTAGTAGTAAACGATGCTGGGAAGGAAGGGCCGCATCTTTCTTCGCGGCTACGCGGCACAAAGCGGCAAAATATACTGTCGTCTGCACACGATGGCTGGCTTTCCTTTTACTTTATCCACGAGCCGTAACCGGCGCGGCGTGTACTACATACTCACTTACATACACATTCGACCACTATTTATAGACCGGCGCCGGCGCCCTGCCAAACCCTACATTGAATTTTTTACAGTAAATCTGTTTCTAATTTTCATATCGTGGTACAGTCGACTGTATTCTACTATTCTTCGTCCACACGACCTAAGTAATGTAATACAGCTTTCCATGCTTTCAGTTAAGTGTTAAATAAAGAAACTCTACAAATCCATTGTCTCTTTTATCACCGTTCACTTCCCAGCTTTGATGTATGATTCTCCTGCCATTCCCAAGCTTATCGATTCTACGTGGATAGGAACGAGTTCTAATTTTCCAACGAAACGAAAGATACCTACTACCCGTTTCTCAGAAAATGAACTATAAAAGAATATTTCAAATAATTGTGCAATTTAGAAATAAGCACGTGTACATAATTTATTTTAGGTTATCAAGATCCTTTTCGCTCTCCTGTGACATGTCATCTGCAACTCAATAAATGGAGATTTCAATACCTGATGAAGAACGATTATTCGCATGATTCGGACCCGTCATTAAAGTCGCTGTCTCCTAATTACTTCCGTGCTCGACATTCAATCATATCGAAAACGATGCTATCTATATGTAATATAATCATAAATAATGAGTTAGAGATGAATATTGTATACGTATATGAATAATATAACGTGTGTCTTTTGTCGCCTGCGAGTATGCTACCAGACAATTGTTATTCCAACAGGTGCCACCACCTTGCGGAATAATTTATCTGATTCTGCGTTAGCTATTCAGTAGTGTGCAAGTGAACTTCAGTAGCGTATCGAAACGAAGACCAGGACTTTCTTATTAGAGTAATCGTTAATACGGATGAACGGAGGAACATGTTCCAGTGGTGATCACTGTCCTTTCGTATAAAGAATGTAATAACCATTGTTCGGTGCTCTACCTCCGCGGTTTCAGCGGATGGAATGAGTATGGGGCATGAAGACTTGTAAGCACAGGTCCGTATTCATTACGATCCAACGGTCTCGGAAAGCGATTGTGTGTACAGCCGTGAAGAAGAAGAAGGGGCTTTTCATGTTCAGTGAGCTCACGCACGTCGAAGAACACTCGTCGGAAACGGTGCGATCCGGAAAACCTTTCACGTCCAAAAATGGCGTTTTTCATATAGTTTAAAGTGCATTCTTGACTTGGCAACGAGCGAAGCGGTCTTTTTGAAAAAAGTCGTATGAACGAGGACCGGTGTTGAGGAACGGTTTCCCGAGATCCCGCAGTCAGGAGCTTCACAACGACGTAAATATCGGTTCTCATACTAAACATTCTTAGATACTTAATTCTGTGAGATAAATATACGGTGCAACGAGGTAAAGATTGTTAGGTGCCCGAAGATCGATCGTGGTTGCGAACGAACTAGATCTTTCTGCATTTCTTGAATAGCTTCTTTGAATTAATCTGTAGTAATCGCGCTCTTTCGAAGTACGTTCGTATTACTTCACTGATTATTATTGACAAGTATTTAAGTATTTGGTTTCGTGAAGCTTGACCGGTCTACAAATTTGAATTGATCTGAAGCGACGTCGAGGCCTGCGAAAACGCGAGTGATTAAAAGTACAGCACCATAAATGAGCAGCTATATCCTGTGCTCTATTGAAGTTTCCCACGAAAGGGGAATGTATATTTCGTATTGTCTTATGATTGATTGATATCTAACAATAAACCAAAAGATATGTGTCAAACATAATCATAGTTAATTACTGGAAACTCGTAAATGCACTGCACGTTATCGCAGTAAGTTGAACTCGACTCGTTCTTGTTTATACAATTCACACTGGCACTTCTAAACGCTTCTTCTATTATACTGTAGAACCACCCGTTGTGGTATTTGCTTCTGTTTCTTTAGCGAAAACTAAGTCTTCAACAATCGTTTTTTGCCAGAACGTGAAAACGTTGACTATACTTGTGTACAAAATTTTTACGCACTTACGTAAGCATCACCGGTTGAACAAGGTTTTGAGAGAGCAGTGATGTCATAACGTAACAGCATAAATAACGCATCGAATCAATGCCTCCAACACGTGTACCATGTTAGTAATGTAAAGCAAATAATAATTAGGCTTTCGCTATTGGAATATCAAAAATAACGTTCGCACGTTTTGTTGTTCCCCGTTTCGCCGAGGTATGCAAATTATCTGTGCAACAGAATAGCGAAGCTCGTGCAAACACTTTCACTGGAACAAATTTTTTCTAATGATCTTCTCTCGAGCGGTATGCTAACTGTTTCCTACATTCAAATAATTCTAAGTAGATCTTGCACGTGAGAAGTGAGCAGATTGTTTTAAGGTAATCAATTTTGCTATTACCCATTACTTATATTCTCCCATCATTAATTGCGCTCTTTGATCTATAATTCACTTTCGTAAAATGAACCCGATTGAGTGTTCCTGTGTACGTATCAGCAGATATCTTTGAGGACGATTTTTAATTAATAGGAAAAATGGAATCATCCGAGCAATTGCGACCAGAGGAATTGGTAGGTCTGATGGCCCGGTCTGCCGAGGGCACGGCCGCGAAGGGAATGCCCATCAAAGGACACGAGGATCTGTGGGTGGAGATTCAAGCGAACACATTTCGAAATTGGGTGAACGAGCATTTAAAGCACGCCGTCGATGTTGCGAACGGTCCCGTGATCGATCTCGTCGAAGATTTTCGGGACGGTACACGATTATGCGCTCTCGTCGAGGTGCTCACCAAACGACGTCTGCCCCGATGGAATCCCAGGCCTGCGAATCAGCATCATCATTTGGAAAATGTTTCAACGGCTCTTCAGGCCATCGAAGCTGACGGCGTAAAACTCGTCAACATCGGTGAGTACGATCTTTAATTATATCAATTACTCACATACGAAACATGTTCGAACGGTCAATTACATCACTGTTATAGCAATGGAGCGACGACTAAATTAATAAAATAGTAGATACTTTAGGTTCCTTTGCGGCTGACGATAAAATATGCATAGATCGTGTTTGGCTTGCATTAGTATGACTCACGTTGCGATAAACGTAATATGTAGTTAAATGTAGATCAACGTTGAAAACGCACTTCATACTTGTAAAATATACGTTCCTACGTTCCACTTATTTTTTTAATTAATTCCAATAGATCATCTACAGTTGTGACATTATTGCTTGCAAATCATACTTCGAGGTCATTGCCTTTCTTGTATTCTATCAGCGCCTACGAGACCGTAGCGTAGAGCGTAGCGCTATTATAATTACACAGCCGTGTGTCTAACAGCTAATTTAATTTCTAATACTACTGATGAGAGCAATGCGCGTTTTTAATACATTAACCAGCTTTTATAATTCTTTCAACGAGGCGAATGAACGCTGGTTATTAAAATAACGTTATATTAAGCGTGTCTCTTGCAGGTAACGTGGATATCGTCAATGGAAACTTGAAATTGATCCTTGGTCTGATATGGTCACTCATTGTGAGATACCAAATAGGCAAGTCTAAGTTCCCTCCAAGGAAACTTATGCTCGCATGGCTCAAGGTCAGTACGCGTAATCGCCTAAGTCACCTCCTCCTAACAGTGACTGATGACCAGACAATTAAAGAGAGACATCTCCTTTATTTACTTGATACAGGCCGTTTTGCCGGAGTGTAGAGTGAATAACTTCACCACTGACTGGAATTCCGGCGTTTACCTAAGCGCGTTACTCGATTACTGCCAGCCAGGTCTGTTCCCTCACTGGCGACGGCTCAATCCCAACGATAGGTACGGCTTCATCCCGGCGAAAGGGAAATTTAAATGTTTCCTATGTCGAAAGTGAATAATTGCACTTTTTATTTATAGCGTGTACAATTGTCGAAAAGCTATGGAGATCTCCAAACGTGAATTCGACATACCTATAGTGTTGGAACCTGAATACCTTGCGTCACCATATTTGGACGAACTATCGGGAATGACCTACTTATCGTACTTCATGAAGGAAGGCTCACCGGGTTTTCACTCGACGTTACGATGGGTTAACTCGCAATTACCTCATCATCCAGTACAAAACTTTACGGTAAATTAATATCCGCTGGCGTGAGATTATGCTACGAGCGTTCGCCTAATTAGAAATCGTTATTCCCGTAGACCGATTGGAATGACGGGAGAGTTTTATGCAGTATCGTCAGGAATTTGGGCGGACCTGCCCCGGCTTACGAGAAGATCGACACGGACTCTTCAGCGTGGGAGCATAATATCCAAATGGGTAAATATCAATAAATATGATTTCTCGTATTCGATGCCTCGTTCATTTATATTTGTTAAAAGGTATCGACGGGGCTAAGAAACTGGGCGTAGAGCCTCTCCTGAAGGCGAGAGACATGGCAGATCAAAATGTGGAACATCTGGGCGTAATGGCATACGCGGCGCACTTTCAATGGGTGAAGCCTCGCCCTCAAGCGAGCAAACAGATTGCTGTACACATCGACAGCACTTCCGCTAGAGTGCAACAGCCGGTTAGTTGGTTGATTGTTACTTGTCCCTCTCATTGTACGCGTCCGTTCATCTTAAGACATTGAAATTATTATTTCCAGGCGCATTTCAGATTAGAAATTCTTACCAAAGAAGTAAATACCAGGGAAGTACGTGGCGAGGTCGTAAGTCCGAGCGGACGAGTAGAGTGTAGGCTGACGTGGAACGGTCTTCACGGAAAGGGAACGTTCGTACCTACGGAAGTTGGAATGCATAAGGTAATTCCTCGTCCATTTACCTATTTCGTTACTCTTCGAAGTTTAATGGATAAATCGATACACGAAGTCCGTTATTATTTACGTTACAGTTAAAGGTATATAACGACGGAGAGTTAGTAGACGGATGTCCCTATTATTTCAGAGTTTTACCTCCTTTAACCAAAATTAAATCACCTGGTATGGATCCGTGTGCTATTGGATCTGTCGTCGAAGTTCTAGTCAACAGTTACGGTAAGAATCACGCTTAGAAAGTTAGATGGAAGAATGTGAACAAGAGGAATGCAGATTTATGAAATAATTTTAGGAACTAGTCATGATGGCATTGATGTAACTGCACGGTCTCCAACTGGGAGATCTCTGCCGTGTCCAGTCAAGGAAAACGATGGAGTGCACACCGCGACCTTTCAACCCGACGAAACGGGAGAGTGGACAATTGCGATAACGCACAAAGGAAATCACATACAAGGCGGACCGTTCACGTGCTTCGTATTTGATCCAAACGGGATAAAGGTGCATAAGATTTTGTCGTACCATATTTTATTAAATTGTTCTTCGATCGATATTAAGAAATGTTTACAGCTGTTGGACACGGAAGGTGCTCTACCCGGGGAGTCGTTCTCATTCATCGTCGATGCAGCCGGAACCGGAGGTCTTGGCGATGTAATAATAGACTTAGTGCACGATAAGCAATCCATACCCTTCCGAATGGAAGACTTCGGAAATATGCAATACCGAATTACGTTTCTTCCGGCTGATTCTGGAAAGTATAGAGTTTACGTGTATTTTAATGGTTCCGATGTTCGCGGCTCCCCATTTTCTATCCGAGTGGGAACGCAGAGGGGGTCGAGAAGATCGAAAGAGTCCAGCCTCGACAGATCGAAGTTATCTTCGTTAGAAAGGCGAATGAATGGACTGAACGTGTCGGGTGGAATTGAACGTTCGAGTTCCATCCAACAGAAGACCTATTCTTCCACGAATAAATTATCGAGTCCAACGCACGTGCGCGAATACTCTCCCGTGCAGCAGACTGCCTCCGCTTATAAAACGTCGAACAATTATTCGATGGAGAACTCGAGCTCGACTTATCATACGACTACTTCTTTCAATCACGCTCGATCCCCGAATCATAGTCACAGTCCTGTCTCGCGAAATCTCCATAGTCCATCGATGGTTAAAGACACGAAAGAAATTTATTCTACTACCGTTACACACAATCAATCAAGATCCCCGACCGTGCAGAGCCCTAGCTTTACGAAGGAATCGAAGGATGTTTATATATCTAACGCGACGAGCAGATCCCTTTCTCCAAACTCAAGTCCAACTGCACACGTTCCACGATATTCACCGATTATCAAGGAGTCTCGAGAAATTTATAGCTCTGGGTCGCTAAAGAGATCTCGGTCGCCGAATCGGAGCCCAATGATGTACCGTAGCGCGACTCAAAGTCCTATTAACAGGAACTTCAGTCCAAGAAGCGACAAAGACAGCGGCTACAACAGGAAAGACACCACGGACAATGGAATCGTTGACACGAGCAGCAACGTGAGGGTATCGTCGATGGTCGGCGGCTCCTCTAGACGCGATTCATGGGATGCTATAGAAAAAACCAAATCTCTGTTGTCCTACGACAGTTTAGAATCCCTTGCCAATCTAGCGAACAGCTCTGCCGCCGAGAATAAAACAAATTCGAGTTATTTCAATAACAATTATAAGAATACTCAGAGTTACGGTTCGAAGAATGTTTCGCACACTCATAACATAACGAAACTTTCAAGCTCGGAATACAGCACATCTCAAAAGTACAATGAGAATCCTAATACTCGGCCGCAAACGCATGGCATCCTTAAAAATAAGAATAATAATTATTACAAAACCGTTGATATCGCGGACGAAGCGCATGATCAATATTCCAATAACGGAATCCAGAATTCGTCGATGCAGGCCAAGAATTACGAACTCGTGAGCGGAAACGCGCTCGAAATTTTACCGATTCATAAGCCGGCTACTTTTACCGTAGATCCAACTGTAGATCCCAATAAAGTTACCGTTACCATTTCTGGTAAGTTGGTTCGTTTATTTCTAACGCTCTGAATTAAACGTAGTATTTAATATAATTAATGTACGTCGCAGGCCCTAGTGGTAAAGTAATCCCTGTACAAAAATCGACACTCCGAGGATTAACGTACACGATAGTCGCCGAAGAAGTTGGCGAACATGTCATACAAATTTTAGTAAACGGACAGCACATACAGGGTTCTCCGTTTAGGTTCGTTCACTTTATCTCAGACGTACTTTGACGCGTTTGAATCGAGGGTAAAATTGAATCATTGTTCTAGATCACAGGCATACAATGCTCGCGCTATTCAAGTTGGGAACATTCCGAATGGCATTGTTAATCAACCCGTAGAATTTGAAAGTAAGGATCCAAAATCTTATTAACTGTTATTGGAGAACATTGCAATTCACGTTGCCTGCACATGCATTTTTGCAGTTGACGGATCGAAAGCCGGATCTGGAAATCTAGAGATTCTCGTGAATGGCGGTCACGTAACTAGTTTCGTCAGGGCACTGGGTAGTCAACGATTTCTGGCATCGTTCGTACCCCACGAAGCTGTTGTACACGTCGTAGAAATGACATTCAACGGCGAAGTCGTCCCCGGTAAGTAGTTTTTCATTTTATTCTTTTTAACACGAAGCCCACGGATGCAGCGTAATAAAAAGTTACTTAATGACGATAAACCGGAGGATTATAACAATTTAATCGACACTTTCCTTTCAATCTACTTTCGCGAATCGATCTTTCTTAGTGAAAGTAAATCGCCTTTGTATAATAATATCGTACATTTAAAAATGTTGATTTACTGAAATAAAAGTGCCTCGTAAAATCGTGTCGATTATTCGGACACAGTTCAATTCTAGTCTCTCGTAAAACGTGTATTCCGATAAGAATTCGTACGAGAATTGCAATCGACCATTTACTTGGACGTTATCTTACCTTTCCAAGTACGAATGGTGCACCGTTCAAGACAAGAGGTCATTGATCAGGTCATTGACTTGCGATTTCACGCATCCACGTGATGTCCCACTGACACATATACGACGTCATCGTTTCCTTTCTTTCTTCAATTTTTTCCTTTCATTTACCAAACGAAGCACAATGGATAGCGCGGCCGCTTAACTACCAAGATCCCGTTTTTGTCATTTACTTCTACGCGAGGAATTCATTATAACAACGTGGGAAATACATTAGACATATTCCTCCCTGATACATTCTATTATCATGACTTCACGTTGCATTCTTGCAGCGATACCGTAAATTGATTCTTCTTCTTCAATTTGTTTTTTGGTACTTACGCCTTTTTTAAATAATATTTACCGGATGAAGTTATTACTATAATTAGCTAGAAGGGAATTTCATAGAAGACGTAGGTGTGGTCTCTAAAGTCTATATGCTTGCGGACGTATTTGGCTGCGAATGGAGATACCTAGTCGGTCCCTGCCTACATGGAGATAAACGTAATCTCCAAGTAACTGCACATACTGCGTAACAATTTTTGCAAATATACTTCTACGAGATTTGTCCCTGGTATTCGTTGAAGAAATCGTACAAAATCTGATACAAATGATAATGAACGTTATGTAAAACACAGCGCAGGTGCCTTATAGCGCGCGATTATAATTTCTACGTGCAAGTGATGTGCAAATTACCGTAACGCTCGATTAGAATGTATACTAAGCATGAAAATTTCGATTACCTTTAATTACGTCGCTATGAAAAAGGCACGTATTTACAAAAGGAAAACGTGCTATGCCGTAATAAGGAATGTGATTCACGTAACATTCCTGCCTTCTTAATATGGTATGTCACCGGGCATTCAGTTCAATCGATTTTAATTTACTGCCGCGATGCTGTTTCAATGAATGTTTTTTTCTCAGAGCGTATCAGACTCGGGAACATCTCACGAAATCGATGAGTGAATTATTTATTCCGAGGCGTGGAGTAGGAAAATTTTTTGAAAATTTTGGAAGATTCCCCTTCCTATTAAACCCGTTATGTGAAGGAATGCAAGCGATTCATGAGCCATAGTATCTTCAATGTAACTTTCGTCGTTAAGAATGTAGCGCAAAGCAATCTAGAATGAAAAAAGAATCTCAATGATATCACTGGCACAGGATGACGGAAGAGCATTCGAAAATTACTTGTTAATTCCCCTCTGTTCTTAATCAATTTCATCTCTGTTAATCCAGGCGCGATCGCAATGCGAGTTCCATAGTATGTAAACATTCATTCCGGTATTCACCGAATAAAAATCGGATTACCATAAATCCAGTTCGTGAAAGATCGCGCTTTTTTACGTTTGGATGAGTAGACTTCCTAAATTCGAATGAACTATCATTAAAGCATTCAGAGTGACACCTTTTTCTTTGACCCGAGTTTCATGAAAGTAATTTCGTTTCATGTACAGTGATTTCTATTTGCGGCCGACCTTAAAGTATCGAAATACGCAGATCAGGTATCCCGTGAACGTGTGGATCGTAGCCGGTCGAAGAAGCAAGAAGAGAACGGGAGAACATAGTCGTATCACGTTCTTTCGAAGCCCTACTTCGGTCTGCGTTGCACAGCGATTTTCCGAACAGGATAATGTTTTTTTCTCGCGAGGAATGATTAAATACGAAGAGCAGGAATCGGTGGAATTCGATTGAATCAGGTGACGGGTGGGGGGGAACGTGAAAGAAAATTGTTGAGCGCGTGCCGAGTGAAACACGGCCCTGGTTTTGGGCCTGAACAGGAACTCGGTAGTAGTAGTGGCCAGTGGCAGCAACAGCTACGCTCGTCCCGTCACTCGACTCGTTTGACTCTGTCGTGAATCGCGATCTGCTGACGTTACTCCATCAAGAGACTGAACCTACATATACTATAATCCTACGATCTTCTCGATCGTTCGATTCGTTCCTCGTGCGGTTTTTAAATTGTACCGAAGATGGATATTCGAGGAACTCAGCCGCGACAAGTGTTTCGTAGAAATCATACGACCGTACTCGAATTAGTGCGCGTACGACTGTGAAAACACTCGTTATCTGTTTCTACTTATGGCCGAGATCGAAGCGAATTCCATAATGGAGCCTTATTGATCAATATATATTCGATTCGTGTCTTCCCACTCCCCGTTATTGAGTACAACTTATTTGCATCCCATTTATAACTTTTATACATTTTTTCTCTTAAGGTCTTTAGCGTTTTTCCAGGTTTCTTATTTTGATAATAAACCTAATAGAAGAGGTAATTCGTTTTTCCATGCCTCGCGTCACCAATCTTTATCTAATTGAATTTATTCTTATATATCTTCCCGCGGTAGTTATGAAAGTCATCTTATTCTACGGTTTGCGCGTGTTCTTATATACTACTTGCGAAGGTTAGAGAGTCTGATTGGAGTCGCGTTGCACTTCCGGAAACTTGAAATTTAATTCACGTTCGAAACAACGAGTCAATTCTTTTCTCATTTTAAACGAAACCAACCAATCCCCGATTGTTCAAATATTGTTAAACTATAATACACCGTTGTACATGAAATCGTTTTAAACCATTTCGTTCCTATTTCAAGTTATAATTATTGAAAAATTAACAGGGTCACCCTGGCATGTGGGCATCATGCCGGCCCCAAAGATGTCAGTAATCGGGGACTCGATGAGATTAGTGCCCGCTGGTAGTTCGGCAATTTTCGAACTGTCTGCCCTTGGATTTAACAGCAATGAAATCGATGTCCAAATCATAAGTGAGTGTCCGTAATTTATATGTTATGGACTAAGGACTTTTTTTTATAAAATATGTACTTTCAGCACCTTCTAAGAGGCATATACCAGCGAGGATCGATGAAGAGCCAGGGAGGCCAGGGGAGTTCCGCGTTGAATTCACTCCGATAGAGGTGGGCAGTCATCTCGTCGAAGTAACCATCGCGGGACAAAAGCTACCGGCAGGACCGTTGGTGGCCAAGGTGTACAACAGCAGTTTAATCCAAGTCACTGACATACCCAGTGCTGTAGTGGGACATGCCTGCCAGTTCAGAGGTAAAAGAAAGCAAAAAACCAATAAGAATCGCCGAGGCTGGAACTTTTGTAACTTTGTAGTCGATGCCAGTGCTGCTGGAGAAGGACAACTTGAAATATCTATTAACGAAGGAGAAGTGCCTAATCACGTTCAAGTAGTAGGAGGAGGCCGGTGCCTGGTGTCTTTTACACCGGAGATCGCTAAGCCACATTACATCGATATCAAATTCAATGGGGAGGCAGTGAAAGGATGTCCCTTCATTTGTAACGTCTCCGACACCAGTCGAGTGACATTAAGTTTAAATCACTTGGAACTGATTCCAGTGGACCAGCCTGCCACTTTTCATATGAGAGTCGACGGTAGTGGAAGTGCAGAACTCGCTGTCTCTGTGCGAGGTGATCAAGGAGATTACATAAATTCGTGTTATGTAATAGTGAAGAAGTTTCGTGTTGCTAAATCCACATCTTTTTCTAGGGCCGAATAGCGAATTGCCTGTGAAAGTAACTGGAGATATAAAAAGCGGTTTTACCGCGGAATTTATCCCGAGAGACGTCGGCGTTCACTCTGTCAGCGTCGAGTACAACGGTCATCCCGTGAACGGAACACCGTTTCTGGCTAAAGCGTTCAACGCGGACAAAGTGTTGATCGGTCCAGTGGCTAGATCTAGCGTCGGCCAGCCAACACACTTCACCGGTGTGTAAAACCGGAATGATAACTGATAACTCATTATTTTCTACGGTTTATTTTCAATCGTTTTATGTTTGATAGTTGATGCGAGTCAAGCTGGCGAGGGAAATTTAGAAATCACGATATCGGCTCACAATCAGAATATACCTACTCAGGTCACTCCACAAGGAAATGCACGTTTCTCGGTTAGCTTCGTACCGTTCGAAGCGTGCGAACACATAATCAATATAGCGTTCAATAAACGGACAGTGCCAGGCTGCCCGATCGTGACTCGGGTAGGTGGTGATAGCCATGTAACAGTGAGCGGGCAGGCATTGAGCAGTGCTGGATTAGGACGACAAAGTTTTCTTACCGTCAGCAATGTTGCCGGTAGCTTAGAAGATTTAGAAGTTAATGTTGAAGGTACATTCATTTTTCTCTCCCGTTACTCTACGTTAACAGGTGTATAACGCATGTGTATCTTTCGATCAAATACTGCACAAGTGTCACAGCAATCCCACGCTCTACGTTCAATATTCCTTCGTTATTATATCTTATTTCGACGAGATTTTTGCAACAGACGCACATCGGTCTCACTGACCACCGGAAACATGTCTAAGCACCGTTTATGTTATATTTATTATTTAATAACTGTGTCTGATAAATATTGTCAATTAATTTACGGTGTGAAATTGCACGACGTTCTATCTCTGTGTTTACCTGTCTTGTTAATCTCTGGCTTGAGAGCAATTCTCTCTTTGTTACAGGTCGGCCAGCTTTCAGACTACGACATTACTAGACTTTTCAAACAAAACTAATCTCTCTTTTATCTTAGTAATGGACTTATCCAATAATTGGTGGTGGGTCTTCTAACTTGATGTCTTTTTACAAATTGTTCTACCGTAGGAATATACTTTGCGCTCTATCACTGATTATCACATTCAAGTATAATGTATCGATCCTACTTTGATATGCAGCTGTTCAAGTGGTGACTAACGTATGATTTTAGTTTCTATTGCTAAATCGAAATGAGATGTATACTACATGCGTGATAGCCATCCCCATGGTGCTATGTATCATTAATTTTAATCTTTAATTGTTCTAGCGTACAGTTTTTAAATTCTTTAATCAGAGATTCCGTGTACATAAACAATTACCATGTATAACGAAATGATGCAGAGGTCTTAATACATTCCGCTTCAGATTACGTATCATTGCAGAATAACAAATAGTCATATTAACAATCATTCAATCAGAAATTATCAGATGATGCAAGCGAACTAATACTTTATCAGATTTGTATTTAAATATTCCTAATAGTTTTTTCATTGTACATACTTGCATCGCTTCCGTCAATTAGAAGTAGCTTATTAGCTTTAACATTGAATGAGAACTTGATAAGCTCGCGTAAGATCCCAGTCGTTCGGTGTGTCCCCGTGATCCCACCCCAGTAGTTGGCTGACTAAATTGTATTAAACAACTAACCGGCGGACTTGATAGGACCCAACGGACAGGCCGTACCAGCTCAAGTCACAGACAACAAAGATACAACGTGCACCGTGGCGTTTACGCCGCGAGTAGTTGGGGAACATAGAATTTCAGTAAGCCATCGGAATGTTCCCGTAATCGGTAGCCCGTTCAGCTGCAAAGTGTACGACGTGACCGCCATCAAAGTGAAGGCTGCTAAACACGGGGTCATTGGAATACCCGTAACTTTCTTAGGTACTACGATCAAAGTATTTAAAATATACTGTCTAAGGAGAATCATCGTTCATCGGTTTCTCGTTGTCAGTCGAAACCAGCCAGGCAGGCGCGGGGAATTTGCACGTGACGGTGAACGGTGGTCGCGTGCCTACGTCTGCTCAAGCTCAAGGCCCGCACACGTACGCGATATCGTTCACACCGCGGGAGGCAATTGCGCATACGGTGGACTTGAGGTTTAACGGGGAAGATGTGCCTGGTAGTCCCTTTACGTGTCAGGTATGTATTTCTATTATACTACTTTTTATTAGGAACGATTTTCGAAAGTTGCGAATTACTAGGTGAGCGATACAGCTAAAGTGGTGATAACGGAAGGACTGGAGAAAGTGTCCGTGAACCGTCTGACGACATTCACGATAGAGGCAGATCCGTCCTTAGGGACTCCGACCGTAGAAGTTCTCTCCCCGACAAGAGTGAGTTTGCCGGTTCATGTTAAACCGAGTGGACAAGGGTCTTACACCGCAGGATTCACACCAAAAGACGTTGGTACGTAAAGACCAACAAGAAGAAACAACAGGCGATGATTAAAAATATGAGCATAGTTTTTACGATTATATAATTTCGTAGGTGATCACAGTGTTGAGGTAAAGATAAATGGATCACACGTCGAAGGTAGTCCGTTCTTGGTGAAAGCTTATAACGCCGACAAAGTAAAAGTGACAGATATAAATAGCGGTGTCGTCGGCAAACCAGTCTTTTTTAGCAGTAAGTAACACGTAATAATTGTCTTTAATTCTCGACGTACATGTATCCTATTTTTAGTCAATGCTAGTCAAGCGGGTGCTGGTAATCTCGAGATTATTGTAACCGTGAATGGGAAAAACGTGCCGTATTATGTACAGAGTGAAGGGAATGCGAAGTTTCGAGTTAATTTCAAACCGCAAGAAGCTGCTGTGCATAGTCTCAGCGTTCGTTTCAACGGAGAACCCGTTCCTGGTACAGATACACGTACACCGAAGGTGTAACGAAATATCTACGAGAATTGCAACTTCTCGATCTAACGTTTCAGGTTCACCGTTCACCTGTAAGATAGTTGGCGCAGGTCAAGCCGTGGTCACGGGTCACAGTTTAAAAATGGGAGCCGTCAAGCAGTTGATGTCTTTCGTTGTGGACCCGCAGGGTCCGTCGACGAACTGCGACGTGATCGTAACACCGCCGTCAAATATATCTCTTCCCATTACGATAGAACCAATAGACGGAAAATACAACATCAGCTTTGTATCTACCGAAGTGGGTAGACATAATATCAGTGTACTAGTCGACGGTGAACACGTGAAAGGCTCTCCATTTGCTTGCAACATATACGATGTTACAAAGGTAACTTCATTTATATGTATACATTAAACTGGTCTCTATTTTTGATCTATTTGAGCTATTTGATTATAAATCGTTATCATATAAAAATGGATGTAGGTTCATGTGTCGGGCCTTACGGAAGCTTTCTTAGGTCAAGCTACGACGTTTACCGTCGATGCCGCAGAAGCTGGCGAGGGTACATTGGAGTTAGTAGTTAGCACGGAGAACAATACAGTTAAAGCCGAAGTTGTTGCTTGCGCACGGGGATTATACGATGTAACGTTCGTCCCCCAAACTACCAGTACTCATTATGTTAATATTAGTTTTAATGACGACAACGTACCAGGTAAGTACTCTCATATTGTTTCTCATCTTGTGGCCTTCTCATTGGATACTATAATTATTTCCGATAGGGAGTCCGTTCAAGTGTCCAGTTGTCAGTACAATGTTAGACGGGCCGTCCATGATTCGCGTAGGGAACACGGCGTATATGGACTTGGAAATGCCAGGCTTGGAAGGACCTGTATCTGCCGAGATCACAGGTCCCGATGGGATCATCATCCCTTGTACATTGACCAAGTTATCGCCTAATCTGTATCGAGTAGAGATTCGAACGCGACAAGTTGGAACTTACAGTGTGACGTTCAGCGATGGTCATAAGATAATCAGTTCTCAAACGCTTCAAGCTTTCGATCCTGGGAAAGTAACGATTAAAGAAATATCGGATGTAGTTTGTCATCGACCAGGATCCATTACAGTGATCGCGTCTAAGGATGCCGGACCTGGGAAGCTGACTTCGAACGTGCGCGCAGCTGGATCCGATGTCGACAGCGTTGTCAGAGAGGGGGAGAACGGGCACTACGAAATCATATTTCATCCCACGCGAGCAGCTCCTCATAAAGTTCACATCAAATATAACGAAGTTCATATATCAGGTACACATTCGATAATTCCTCGTAACTTCAACTTGCTCAACGTATTTTTTGTATCGTTTCCTTTCAGGAAGTCCTCTGGACGTGACTGTTCGTAGTCCCACAGGTGGGAGAGAAGTAACAGCGACTGGATTAGGGCTGTACCAATCGTGCGTTGGCAAGGTAACTTCGTTCACCATCGAAACTTTAGGTCGGCCTGGGAAGGAATTCGACGTTGTGATCAGCGGGCCGCAAGGTAACGCGGTTCCAGTTCGATGTTATCAGCATCGGGATGGAAACTTGCTCGCTGAGTTTACAACGAATACTGTCGGTACGTATGATTTATAATGAGTGATCCTTTCTAGTGTGTAATACCATTATATACATATTTATTAATGAGAATATTCGATCGCATTAGGGACTTATAAGATCGATGTCTTACAAGGCACGAAACCAGTGTTGGGTTCACCTTTTTTCTGCCAAGCTTTTGACGTTTCTAAAGTGAAAGTACAAGAACTGGGTCCGATGACAGTATCCGTCCACGATCACATCGCCTTTAAAGGTATTTTTAAACGAACATTATTTTCTTTCGTCGAATCGTAATAATCGTTAATTGTTTTTAGTAATAAAGGCGGATGCTGGAATAGCCGATTTAGACGTAGTAGCAACGAGTCCGTTGGGCCAAGAACTTCCGTTACAAGTCACGCCGCTTAACGACGGTGCTGAAATGGTGGAATTTTCTCCTAGCGTGCCTGGCACATATATGATCAACATCACGTATGGTAAGATTGATATGAATACACATTGCGTTCATAAATTCTTGCGTATATCTGTTTTTCTTCAGGCGGATATCCTATACCCGGTAGTCCACTGATGTGTGCAGTTGACGCAACTGGCCAAGCTCGCGCGAAGGGAGAAGGCTTGTTAAACGGTCATGTAGATAAAACAGCACATTTCATCGTTACTGGTACGAGAAGCCCTCCGGCAGTGCAGGTGCAGTATACTCTAGTATTCGATGTGGGTGTAAATCGAATTGCAATTCAGTTGAGTCTTCCCACAGGTGGATGGTCCAGACAGTGTTTCAAAAGCGATTATCGAAGCTGGGGCTAATCCAGGAACTTGGAACGTTTCTTATGTGCCAACAGAAGTCGGAGTGTTCGACATCAGAGTCGTCTCCGCTGGTCAACAGCTTCCGGGATCTCCGTGGCATCCGAAAATTATAGACACGCGGAATCTTCGCGTGATCGGGGGTTGGTCGGCCGTTTGTGACGACCACGGCCGATTGAAGATACATCCTTCGAATAAAATCAGTTTCGATACTGCCGAAGCAGGACCTGGCGAACTCTCCGGGAAAATAGGAGATCACAAACTGTCCTTTGAAATGACTTCGAATAATAGACTGAAACTTATCCCGCCCCAATTGAACGGCGGAGAATATCGTTTAGAAATCTTTTTCAATGGAATACCATTCCCAGGTGCTCCGAAGCTGGCGGTTATTCAGGACTCAGAGGTAATTGATATATGTATACAAGTTTAAATTTATATTACGGTATCAGCAGATCAAGTTTATTTTTTATATCTAGGCACCTGTTCAAGACACGAGCCGTGTCTTGCTCAGAGGAAGAGGATTAACGTCAGCTAAATGCGGAGAAGAAGTTAGTTTCACGATAGATGGTTCTCAAGCTGGCGCGGGAACGCCGAAGGTTCAACTGTTCTCACCGACCAGCGAACTGAACGTAAATTTGCAACATTTGGGGGACAGTGTCTATCGAGCAAGTTATATTCCGTTAACACCCGATCCTCTGTTAATGACGGTGTCTTGGAACGGAAGGCAGTTGAAAGGGTGTCCTTTGCAAATAAGCGTAACGAGCGTGGCCGACGCGTCGCGAGTTATTTGTTCCGGAGATGGACTGAAGCACGGTATAGTGGGACAAGAAATACGAAGTTTCATCGACACAAGACGAGCGGGTCCTGGTACGCGAATTATGTATATACTCGTTTTCAAGTTGACCGATCATTAAATGTCTTTAAATATTTAGGTGAATTGACGGCACATTGTGTCGGCCCTCACAAAGTAGCGTACTGTGAATTGTACGATCACGGTGATGCGACTTTCACGTTAAACGTGAAGCCTCAGGAGGCTGGGCGACATGCATTAACGATTAAATACGCTGGAGAACACGTCCCAGGCTCTCCGTTCACGTTACGCGTGTCCGGAGCTCCGGATGCATCGAAGGTTCGCGTTTATGGACCGGGAATCGAACACGGGGTCTTGGCGACGTTTCAGTCGCGGTTCATTTGCGATACTCGCGGTGCCGGGGCTGGCCAGTTAACGGTGAGAGTACGCGGGCCCAAGGGAGCGTTTAGGGTCGAAATGCAAAGAGAAACTCAGAAGGATCGCATAATACTTTGTCGGTACGATCCAACGGAGCCAGGCGATTACAGAGTCGAAATTCGTTGGGCAGGCGTTCATGTACCTGGTTCTCCATTCCCTGTTAAAATCGTCGACACGCAAGATGAACTGCTGATGTTAACGCAGGTAAACTGACAACAATAAGATGTACACATCCTGTGTTCCTTAAAAAACATACATTTATTTCTCTGGCTTTAGAGTGGGGACAATTATTCAACGGGACATCACACCATCGCTTCGTGGCGTGGATCACAAGCTATATTATAAGATCATCGAATATAAAGATTGTTGCTATTTTTTATGGGCTAATATATTTTCATAATATATAACGACATTATAACTTATCTAAAATGTTTCCAATAAAACAAATATTTTGACAAATTCAGCCTGGTCTCTCCTTTGTACACACATTCCTACGCGTAGGAATACTTCATAAAAGAAATTAAATAACAGTTGTCTTACTCACGGAGCACTACATCTTACGAACGTTAAGACTTCTTTTTCTTTTCTAATTTACTGAGTTCCCTGAACACGTGCTTCTTCAACTCTTTCTGTCGTTTAAGTTTTCGCGCTTCCACGGCTTTAATCTCAGCTCGATGCGCTCGTATTCTTTGTTTGGTAGCTATCTTCAGTTGTTTCTGCTTGTACGCGTAATTTGTTTTGATCATCTTTATCAACTTGGCTACATTCGCTTCCTCCGGTTCTCTTATCACAGCCACTCTATTCTGCTTGTGCTTGCCAGCCGGTATTAATTTCGGCTTGTCTTTATACGGTAGTTCCTTCTGCAAACTTCGAGGTATAGACAAAGGTCTGAACACTTTCGGCTCTCTTTCAACAGGCGTGTACATAGAATCTTTGTTAGCCGGCATATGTATGTTCTTCTCTCTCTTCAACTGGCCGGTCGTTTTCATCCCTTGCCAGAGATTCTTCTCTTCGGGCGGTAATAAGAGCGACGTGACTGGATTATAAAATTTCGGTACATCGACTTTGTACCAAGTTCGACAGAAGACGATGTCGCTCAAGAGAATCTTATCTTCGAACGTTGCTCGGAAAGATCCTTCTGGTTTCGATACGGCTTTCTTTATTTGTCCGCGTATGCCGGAGACTGTTTTTATCTTGGCACCTTCGAACTTTGCTACTTCCAACGCCGAATTGAACATATCTTTAATGAAGGCGGTCTTTTTGTAAATCTTCAGCGGCACGCCGGTGAGTTTCAGCTTCTTCATTACTTGAGTGCTCTTATCCATCTCTACGATGGAACCCGTCGCCGCTATCCGAAATCCAGGTGTCCTCGTTGCAACGTCTTGAACTGCTAAAACTCCTGTACCTTGCGGCGTGATAGGGCCCCAGAAGTGAGTCATGCAGGCGACGTGCTCGGGTGTGTACTTCAACATCCTATTTCTGAGATTGTCCTCTAGTTTGGCAAAAATTGGCAGCGTCTGAAATCGGCGCCAGCCAACGGAAAGTATCAGCGGGTCTCTGCTCTTCAGAATCTTTGGGTACCATCGATGCTTTTTTATTCGGGTCTGTACGTATCCAATGTTCTCTTCGCCGTGCAAAAGACCACCGATGATCAGGGGATACGTGGGATCCAAGTGAGTGATAAGTTCGCACGGCACAGTTTCAATTTCAACGCGAACGTACATCCCAGGTCGATAACCCTCTAATTGTACTCTGACATCGTCAAGCAGACCTTCGAATTCAGACTTATTAAGATTTGCTTGTTTTTCAACTTCCAGTTTTAACTCGTCGTAATACGTTTTAGTTTCACCGTTGTCGTACTCCAAATTAAACTGTTCTTTTAACTTTTGTTTCTTCTCAAGCAACTTCTTCTTCTCCTCTATTTCATCGGATATAGACTCTTTTAACGCTTCATGCTTCTCCCCAGTTTCCAGATCTTCGAAGTCCCCGTACAATTCCTCCTCGTCCAAATCGTCCATTTTCAAGAGTTCCTCTGCATCTTCCGAGTCTTTCCATTTACCGGTTACGAAACGATTCATCACGAGTACTTTACTCTCCTCCATTAACCAATCCCGCTGACTTTCAGGGAAGTAGATAGACTCTTCTTGATTCTGTAGTTCTCGCTCTTGTATCCTTTGTTTCTGCTGTTCTTGAACCACGCGGAAAATACCACCGATTTCTTCGTTTTCATCGGCCTTCTCATCCTCTTCCTTCTCTTGCACACGATTTCTATCGAACACTCCGTAAACGAGCTTCATGATATTCGTTTTATTAGTTCTTTGCCGATTTTCGTATGCCTTCTTAGCTTTCGCAGCTAAATTCGTCTTCCACTTTAGCTCATCTGCGATTCCTTCTTTATCCTCGTCTTCATCTTCATCATTGTCTTCCTCCTCCTCAGAGGCGGACATAGATTCTGCTTCCAGCTCGTCCATTTCTAATCCAGCTCGTGAATCGTCGTCACTAAGCTCATCAAAACTTTCGTCGTCCATGTCCATCTCCTCTACTTTACTCGATCTTGAATTCAATTGATTTAGCGCTTCGGTAATCTTATTCTTTATCAAGACATCCGATTCTTTGCTCAGGGAATGATAAACATTTGAAATACTATTTGCTTCAACATTCAGTGAGTCTTTCGTAAGAGGTGTGTCATTACTTTCGGAGTCAGAATTTCTTTTTTTCTTAACGTTTCCTAATTCATTTTTTCTTTTTCTCTTAACACCTTTCTTACTATCAACATCCTTAACTTTAATTTCTTCATCCGACTCGATATCATTGTCGATGGAGTCGTCATTATTTTCTTCTGGCTCATCTTCGTCGTTGTCCGTTGCTTCATTTTCGCTATCCTCCATATTAGAAGACCTGGTTAGTTCGGAATCGGAGAATAAAACCTTTCTTCTAATCCTCCCATTATCGATCACAGCTTCTTCCATGTACCGATCTACATTTTCACCAACATCTTGCGACTTTATTGGAGCAGCATCACTAAACAACTGTAACTCGCTATGTTGTAACTTTTGATCCAATGTCTCTTGCGTGTCCATTAGAGCACCGACCAAACCAGTTTCCTCTTCTTTGTGCGAGTGGCTGCCACCAAGTTCAACGTAAACCGCGTCTTTATCGTAGACTATGCCGCCTACGCCAGAGAAAGGTGCATATATCAGTCGTTCCTTTTCTAACAAAGCCCGTTTCTTCAATTCCTCCGGCAGTGGGCACGGATCTGGTAGGAAGCTGATGTCTTTCATTTTCAGGTCTCCACAGCCCGGAATATGTATGGACGTTTCTTTGTTCAAGGGGATACCTCTCACGTACCTATAAACAAGATTAATTAATTTTTGGAACATGTAACAAAGTAGTCTTATTAAATTTATGTATACCCATATAAACTGATTGTCCTATCAACTTTAGAATTTTGCCTAATCAATTCTGGGGGTGTTAAATCTTCCACTCTGTCGACGAGAATGTATGGATGCATAGTGCGCCAAGTCAAAGGTCGGAACTTCATGACAGATATGAATCTAGATAGATTTTTCACTTCTGTACGTAAGTATTCCCCATGGACTAATCCAGATAGATAGAACAATTTGGCGCCGGCATAGACTTCTGTCCAGAACCTCTGCTTCAACGTTTTCTTAGTCCGCTTCAACTGTTTAGCATTCTTTATTAAGTCCAGGTGAGTTAGAACGCCCATGATCCTAGGCATACCGTGGACTTGGCAAATGTTCAGGAATTCGAATATCTCCATTTCAAAGCCAAAGGATGCGTCGATCAGAAGCAGAACTAAGTCTGCTACTTTGGCAATATCTATCATACTGTTTATGTCGTTGTTACATTCCAGGAATGTAATTCTCCGTTTTTTCCCAGCGACGATGGTAACAGGACCGAGTATATTGGTAAGCGGCTGTTTTACAAAGCTCTTGATCAGACATTGGATCAACAAAGATTTGCCTACTTTCGGAGGGCCGACAATCGCGACCAGAACCGGCGGAGGTTCCAAGGGTGTCCTGTCGACCAGTGGTATATGCTGCTTCTTTGTTTCTATATCTTGCTTACGTCTAAATCGCCTCTCAGCTTTGATCGCGGAATGAAACGTGAAAGCTTTCGGGTTTTTCTGTTTATCAGTGAGCTCTTGAACGTGGCCATCCTTTTTGGCCTTCTTCTTCTCTGCTTTACGTCCAGCATTTCGTTCTCTGTGACTCTTATGAGCAACACCATTCTCCGATGCGTTCATTTTTTATAAACTTTACGAATTGTACTTATATTTTACGTTTGATGAAATGTGTCGCGAACAGCACGTGCTTTCAACCACAGACAGACGAGTGCAAACGAGGTTAGGTTAGATGTTTTATATAGCTCAATGGCAGTACAGCTAGTAA